GAAATATATGGTTGAGGAATCCACGTCATAGCTTAACATGTCTAGAAAGAATCCTCGACGAGCTGGCCGAGAAAAACCAAAACGAGGTCAAAGTCTTGAAGCCCCGCTTACCGCTTCTCATGGTACTCAGGATATATATGCATGGCAAGCCGAATGACCCCATGGACGATAGCACTAGCACTAGGCAATAATGCCTCACCGAGCTCGGCATGTGTGTTATATACTAATAACTAATAAAAGTGATTGAACCTTCTCAAGAAGGGCTTGTCTTGAACATCAACAAATGTAGGCCGACAAACACCAAGGCCGAGGTCTAGAAATATTCTATTCGGCCAATCTCTTTTTTTATTATTTACTCGACTTCGGTGACCTTTTACTTTTCTCAACCTTAGCGACCTCGACTTAATATACTGTTTCAAGTTGCCACCTTATTTTAAGCCATATATATATATACACACACACATACATATTAAACCTGATAGTATATGTAGCCTGGCTGCTTAATGTGATGCCGATGTATATATATATTAATCCTATGTCAGCAATGCACATAATCTCAACCGCAATTAAGGCCGAATTCTTTCCTACTTTTCTTGACTTAGGCCTAATCCAAACCTAGGCCAAAATGTTTTGTCTCGGCCCCCATAATTGTTTTTTTCTTTTCTTTTTAAGTCGAACCATCATGTGTTTGAATGCTGCCCCCTTTATTTTCTTATTGTATCGGCCTAAAAGGCCGAATGTTTAAGAAAATAATATATTCTTCCTTTTATTTTTATTTTTTAAGCAAAAGCAAAAGAAAACAGCTGAATAATAATCAGGAGGAGGCCAACGATGCTTTACTCCAAGCCGAGATCCTTGTATTTCAATATAGCCAATCAGATTTTGTATTGAGCCGAATAACAAGTGATCTCCAAATATTTTTGACTTGGCGAAATATTTTCCACTTTCGGCTGCCAAATGTGTTGAACAATTATCATGCCCCCTAGGCATAATAATTTCGCTAATTTCGGCTTTTAACTCGAACAACTTAGCCGAATGAGATTTCTCCATATCGGCTTTATCCCCAATAATCATATCGAGTAGCATAGTTTGTTAGACTAGGCCTATGTCTCGGCCTTGCTTGTCATTGGAGCACCCCTCTGACGAATCATTTTCTAAGTCGATTTGTGGCTCAGAAACTTGAACTTTTGCTTCTAGGCCTACCATAATTTCAGTCTAGACTGAAAAAACAGGTGGCCTAGGTTCTTCTTTTACTGTCTCGACAATGTTCTAAGGCCAAATTTTAATAGTGGCTGGAGCGAAAAATTGCCCCCTAGCCTTTTGAGAGAAAGACTTTTGCCTTTCTTTATTTTCTTCAATGATCCAGCCAAGAAGTTTTTGTTGCTCGACAATTTCCTTGAATAGGCGCCGAATCTCATCCTGAGCGTGATCTTGATATATCATGTGAACTTCGTAGTTTTAGCATTGGGTCCCACTGGGCATGCCAAAATGTTAACCCTAAAAACTACCAAGCCTACGTGGCGCGCAGGCCGAGTAACTAATAAGCTAACTACGTCATTCGGTTATTTGCGGGGCATGCCAACTCGTCGGCCGAGCTCGACCAAAGAGTAAAATTTGTTGATGTTGCATTAGGTACGCTGCTGACTTCTTGATCTTGCGACTGCGGTCGAGGAAGGAACACGTCTCGGCCTTCGGGTTCTAGAGCCTGAAAACAAGGCTGCTAGTTCTGCGAAGTTTAATATCAAATTCGGCTTTCAATGTACCGAATGTAGTAACTTGTAACACCTTATCTCGCTGAGAAGGCTAATGAGATGACCTCTGCCAATAAGGATTCAAAAATCCTTCTCGACCGAGACTTGGATAGATAACCAGTCGGCCCCGTCGCAGTGCTGTTTATCCAAACTGAAGGTGCTTCACGGTCGGCTAAATCTACAACAATAGTGTTGTTTATCCAAACTGAAGATGTTCGCCGGTTGCCTTCATAGTGTTATTTATCTAAACTGAAGATGTGTTGGTGAAAAAGAACATAAAAAAAATCTCAAGATGTTTGAGAGGTTTCGCGTAGAGCGAGGGTTTGCGCATGGCAGTTTGTGTGTTGAGTTGAAGGTCTTTTTTCGTTGTTCGCGACTCTGTATTTATAGTGGCTGATGTACTTGATTGGCATGGTTAGATAGAGTTTGACTGCAACTCTAACTCGTTGAATAAAATTTGATCTATGGCCTTTAAATTCCTGCGACCTCCAAAATAAAGCCCATCCAGGCTTTATCACACCACATCATAAACCTAATCCACCTAGGATTCTGATCTTATTAAAAAACCTCCAGCAGAAACCTTCACTTCAATCACACAAAAAGCCTAGTCCACCTAGGTTTGTTGTGTCATCATCTCAACCTAGGCTTATCACATCACCACCAAAATCCAATCCAATCCTATCCTATTTAGGCTTCTTCATAATCTTTACCCATGCATGCATCCTGATCCTCACCATACTTTAAATAAACAATAATCAGTTTGCACCACACATTCGCACGCCAGAACACACCCAATCAGCTTGACTTGTGCTGCCATGTTTCCAATTGGAAATATATATCTCATCTTTCATAATAAATTACTATTAAAAGATAATTATGATAAAACACCATAACATTATCCTTTAATAATAATAAAATGAATTATCTCCACTTTTCATCTGACGGTGTGAAACTATGCTCACTCAGCTATCTTGATTGCACGGGCCGATGGTGTAAATTCGGGTCCAAACAAAAACACGGCGTTGATATTGAAGAAAATCAAAACAATTAAGAAGACTTACCAGAGCGAGAAGAAGCAGATTCTATGGCGGCACAATCCTTGAGTCTCTTTATCTTGTCAATGACTGGCACACTTTCAAAGACTTAATCTGTTTTTGGGTGTTTGGTAGATGTCATCATGTGGTTAACTTCATCTGTTTTCGGGTTTTCAGTTGATTTCCTCTTTAGACAATCCAATGCATGTTCACATGCCTACAGAAAAAAGCGTAAATCGGAACATAAACCACAAAGTCTTATAGCCTGCATCTAGCAAGAAGATTGAATGCCAAAATAAGAAACATTGATGATAAAAAAGAGTGAGTAGAAGAACACACATAGCAGTTGCTTAATAAATGCAATAGATTTGAGTGTCTAATCCACCTTCTTCTAGTACTAAATATGCCGCTTGTATAAGCACTAAACACATGATTTTTTGCACTTGTACCGCTCATTTTAGCGATCAAGAGAAACGATAACAAAAAAATTAATGAGAAACCTCATGCGTTGTTAACTGAATTATGTTTTATATCGTTGCAATTGTTAGTCTACCATTATATGGTCATGGAAAACTGATAACTTGGGGTATCGACCAAGGATTTCGTTATCAAGCAGTTGGTCATAGACATGGCTATTGGTTACTAAATCAATCGTAATCTGATAAATCTAATCAAATAACTTCTTACTTCATTTAATGCATAGCTTCCCCGAATGCGAAAGTTAAGAAATTACGAACATTGATGAAAGTAGTGATAGTGATGAAGGTGATGATCACACTCACCTTTCCTGCAACTGAATAGAAACCACTATCTCTTGACCGGTGAGCAAAATCCACCCATTCTGTATAAGAAACTTGTAGCCATGGATTCGTCGAAGATTTGACGTCCCGCAAAAGCAAAGCCTCATATCTCAAAGCCAAACAACTCTGCAATCACAAACCGATCCACAAGCACATAGCGGTTAATTAGTTACCAAATTCCAAAGAACCCTAGCGATTTGGCTTATGACATAAATTCATTCCATAAATATGAGAGGATTTGAATTTTGAGAAGATTTGCCTCAACATCGCCTACTAGTGAGAAAGAAAGAACGACAAACTCAAGAACCAGAACCTTCTCCTCCACATTGTTCTCTGCAATTTCTGCGGAACGGAGAGCGATATTCGGACCTCATGAACTGCCTGAAGCCGGACCTGACTTCCATCGATGACTTTACATCCTTCGAAACCAATGCCGACTCCAATGCTCGAAGTGTCGCGTCATCGAACCTACTAAATATTTTCAATGCCAGAGAGAGATGGATGGAAGATCGGAGAAGAAGCGGAAACGGACCTTCTGTTCAAGACGAGTGAGCGAAAGAGCTCTGACATTTGGCGGCAAAACGGTTCTCTGAATTTCAATTTGAGTTGGATTTATAAACATTAGGGGGCCATAATGGGCCCAAAATCTATAACCCATTTAAGGCCTGTTTAAAGGCAATTAAGGCCCACCTAAACCATAAAGAAACGACTGACGAGGCAAATTTTCATTTGCCACCAACTGTCAAAATAAACACATTTTTCATCAATTTTTTTTTAACTTAGTACGTCTCGGATTAAACTTTTTCCCTCATAATATAGTTGTTTAGAATAGAATATTATTTGTATTGACGATGAAAATAATTTTTAATTTGACGGAAAAACAGATAAATGTTATGATAAAGGAAAATTGGCACATTTTAAACTCCAGATTATTCATGACCAAATTGAAAGTCAAAACTTGAAGAAGGTAAGCTTAAGAGTTTTTTACTCTATCGCTAAAAAGAAAATTGTTATAGGCACTCCAAAAATCTAATTTTGCATTCTAAACTTTTCTATAATCAAAAAAAAAAAAAACATTTGTGAAGAATATAAAATGTGGTTTTTGTAATGCTGATAACAGTTCCCTCTAAAAATATTTTTTATAAACATAAGATCCCCGTCACTACAACTACGAGTTTCTTGTATTATTTTCAATGTGTGAGTGGAAATTCTTAAATTCGATTGACAAAATACCTAGTGTAAATCTCACATCACCGATTATTATTTAAAAAAATAAAGAGAAAAGTGTGAGAGAATGGAAAGAAAGGGAAGAAGATTTGAAGTGCAAAGAATCCTACTCCTAACAAAATGAGTTGGCCACAATGGGCCTGGGCCTGCGTTTTATAACCCAATCTAAGGCACAGAAAGCAACGAGGCATAATCTCTCTCTCTCTCTCTCTCTCTCTCAGTCAGAGTCGCCGTCGTGCCGAGTAATTGTTGATCAAAAGATATGGCGGGACGGGAACATCCTCGACAGCTCGTCCGGCTGACACCACTATCGGTCAATACCACGGCGCTGGAGGACCGTATCGCCCTCCAGAACCGTGAGATCCAGTCCCTCCTCGTCGACAATCAACGGCTGGCAGCCGCCCACGTCGCGCTCAAGCAGGACCTCGCCGCGGCCCAGCACGACCTACGCCATCTATCCGTCGTCGCCGGCAAAGCCAAATCTGAGAGGGACGCCGAGGTGCGCGAGGTCTACGAGAGGGCATTGAAGCTGGACGCCGAGGTTCGCGCCATCGACTCCATGGGCGCAGACCTGGCTCGGACCCGAGCCGATATACAGGAGCTCGGCTCGTCCCGGCAGGAGCTTGCAGAGGAGTTGAACACGATCGAAGGCGAGCTTGTGAGGACTCAGTCCGAGGCGAGGAAAGTGGTGGACATTAAAGCCGATATCGAGACCTTCAAGCAGGAGATTAAGAAGGGAAGGTAATTTTGAACTAACCTTCCATATGCATTGTGTTTGTGTGAATTGTAAAATTTGGGTATTGAATTTCAGATAGGGAAGTGTGTCGAAATTTCGAGGTTAATCTTTCGGTTTTAGGAGAGGATTTTGTGTGAATTGTGAAGTTTTGGATGTAAAGATTCAATCTTGTCTATGATTTGAATGCAAATATAGGGATGCAATTGACAATGAGAAGAAAACTAGAGCTAGCAACCTTGAGCACAGGCAGGGGATGGAGAAAACAATGGCGGCATTGGCTCGCGAAATGGATAAGCTTCATGGGGAGTTGGCCAATGCAGAGAAGAGAGCAAGGGCTGCAGTAGCTGCAGCTGCAGCAGCAAATCCAGGTCAATTCATTCGCGTTCGACTTGTCTCCCGTATTTAAGATTCGATTTATTCTATGTTTCTCGGTTTGAATTCAGAAACCAAATGCAATGTAAGGAGCTTGATGAAATTTCTGGTTGTGTTTATGAAGGTCCTGGGTACCCTGCAGCCTATGGCAATGCTGAAATGTTATACGGGGGAAATGCGTATCCCGATCCCTATGCCGGCATGCATCAGGTATGTGTACGCCCTTGCCTTCTTGATGCTTTGGTGTTATGTTTGTTACTACTCCGTAGATTGAAACCATTGAAAAGATGTGCAAGAATTTGTTTGTGTCTGAGAAGTTATGGTGTCAGTACAAATAATAACGTGAGCATGAGAAGTGTTCTATCGTGATCAAAGATTGCAAACTTAAGCCCTCGTTTCTATCTTGAGACCTAATATGTGGTAGACGGATAATTTAGAGTCATTAGAATTTGGAAGGTCCCTTGTTTCTGTGGAAATTCAGAGTTTCGATGTGGAGCATTCGGAAGACATCAACAATTCTTTATGTCTTTGTACACAAATGTTGCAATATATGTGCTTATATTGAATTTATATCAGATACTTTGCCAAACAACTTAGTTTCAGATTTTCTATTTATACCTTTTTCATCCGAATGAACCTCTGGATTTCAGGCCGCAGGTACTGCCGACGCTGCGAGTCCATATGGTTCTGCACCAATGCCACATGCTTCTTATGACAGGCAGCCACCGCAGGATATGAGATAAAGGTCTCCGGCAGGTAATTAAGCCGGCCAGAAAAACAGCTCCGACGATTGTATGGCTTCAGAAATATAAATATAAATGAAAAGGTTTGGCAGCCATTCGGACGAACAACATGGCAAAGATGTGATAAGCAGTTAAGCACAGCTGATTTAGTGCCTTGAGGCTTTTTCGCTTCGTATTTTTCATGCTACCGCAAAGAAATTTCTCATTTACCACGAGGAAAATATTAGTACAATACACAGAAACGAGCAGTAAAAGAACACTCTGCACAGGGAAAAGGGCTACAGTTACTTGCATCGACAAAAGTTACAATCAATGTTGTTGCAAGAAGCTGCTACCGCTATCTACTTACCGGAACCTGCTTCAATTGTTTTCTGTAACTAACGGACTTGCTACTCGGTTTTCACCGTAATGGCAACGAGCGGGGCGTGGGAGGGTGGGGTAATTTAGCTTCCTAAACTTTGATTTGTTTGTGCGGCCGGCCCGCCGGCCATGAACTTGAAATACCGTCTGAAATGGATTTGTATCTTTGCTATTCAACATTACAAGTCATACAGAAACGGGCAGGTACGTACCCAACGTTTAGCACATCAATTTACAAACAAATAGCAAATCGTCACTTAAGACGATGCGAAAAAACAGAGAACACATCAAGGAAAAGAACGTTTCATTCAAATTTGCTATATGTTAGGGATGTAATACAAGAATTTAAACTCGCACCGGAAAGTGATTTCTACAGTCTACTCTCATCATTCCCAAACCAAAAACCTGAAAGAAAACCCTTTATCTTGCCGCAAGGCAAATGCCAAGACTACAACTGTTGTTCAACATTTGAAGTTTCCAACCGCTGCCGGCTAACCGCCCAAGAAAGAAAGCCAGATGAAAGTAGGCACCCATCAGCGCACAGCAACACATGGGAGGTTATGACAATTGAAGGTAGGTGATACGCAGAGATTCTCGTCATCCACAAGTCCTTTGCGGTCACCACAAGGAAGACTTGCCCCACCCAGCAAGTAGCAGAACAATGAAGGCAATCGGCGGGCAAAATTTTAGGCACCATGCCCATTTTACCAAACAATGGGTCTTAAACCCTACATTGATGTGGTGAAGTAAAACTATCGCAAAGCGCAAGCCTCGATGTAGGAAAAGAGCCTCCACCAAACATGATAATAAATGTCTAAACAAAATAACAAAATCCTACATGGAAACCTATTCCATGTAACTAGCAATTTAAACAAGTTCAGCTGGAGCTAAAAGTTGAGCAAAATCCAATCCAATGGTCGGGATTCACATCTAACATAGAGTACTTTCAAATACAAATTCCAGGCCACATGAACCATCTTCAGTGATTTCTTATATGGATCACAAATTTTCAGTCAGAAATGCATGTTATAGATATCAGTGCTCGCATATGAGCCATAGATTTAAAATGATCAGATGCAATCAAGAACCCGGTTATGCAAATCGGGGAAATCTCCAAATAAGTGTTAATAATGGTTACGAGAGAGCAGCACTCACCTGAAAATATCAACCTAGCATAGCAGCAAGCAATTTGGAGATTATCCACTTGTCTCTATAAAACATTCACACAACTAAAATCAACTCCTCCAGGTAGTTGTAGGTAAAGTTAAATATAGGAGGACAGAGGCCTTGCTCAGGGTTAGTGAACAACCTACCTCTTAGTCTCCCGTTTAGGAACCCTCCAACGGAATACTACAAAAACCCTCAGAAAACAATTCTCATTACATAAAATCTGCTTCATCTGGAACTTCTCTCAGTAAGGACGCGAACGGTTTCCACCATGCTGATGTCTATCCGCTCCACCATCTCTATAGTTGTTGCGCCTGTCACCGCCCCCATATCCACCTCTACCACCACCACCACCACCACTGCTTGCACAAGAAAAAGTAAGTCAGGACTCGATATGCAGCCAAAAGAAGAAAATTAAGTAAACAAATCAGAAACTCATTCACGCAAAAGAACTTCATAAACTACATCGGAAATTCAGGATAGCACCCATTAACAGAATACCACAACTGAATTACTCAATGATTTTAGTAATTATGACATCAAGAAAAAGAACAAAATATAAAACCCACAAGCAAATATTAAACATCAGGGTACACATCCAGACTTGCTCACTTTTGCTCACACTGTGACTCAATGTGAGGAAGCAAGATAGCACATGAACAACAAGGAAAAGGGTTCTTTTCAACTTCCACTCAAATTATAAAAAAGTTGATAGATATATAGATAGATAAATACCCTTGTTCAAACGAAGGCCTTGGAGCTGACCTCTCCGCCATCGCAACACTGATCTTATAGCCCCTTAACTCATAATCTGTAAGAGCAGAACCAAGTTAGAATACGACTTTAACATCATCTTATCATGCAAAATAAAAGTAAAAGAGTTACCATTGTAAAATCCACCAGCTGAATGTGCAGCAGAGGGATCTTCATAGGCTAAACATGCGTCGCCTTTGTTTTTTCCAGACTCATCTGTGTATATTTTGATATTATATGGCCATTGATCCTTATAGCCACGTTTCTGTTTGATTCTTCCCACCTGAAAAAATTAACTTAGCATAAAGTAACCACATAAATGTACACCAATTTGTGGAACTGACAAGGCGAATTAACTCGTTCCTACAACTGAAGGAGAAATGAAAAATGAATTTCCAATATTCCATACATATACTCAAACTAGAAAACCAGCATTCAAAATTCAATCTTAAAAACTCGGATGCACTAAGTTCATAAGTAGGTATGGATTTACTTGTCCAATGCCTCCAAAGAGCTGCTGAAGTTCGTCAACAGTAACATCTGGTGGCAAGTTTGATATGTAGATTCTAGCATTGTCACAAGTATCATCACAATTCTGGTCGCACTGCTTCACCTTAGATGGCGCTTCCGTAGCAGCACTTCCATACCCACCACGACCACCAGCACCGTATCCACCATCATATTTAGCAGGAGGGCCCCCTCGGGCACCACCCCTTGCATCACCTGGACCATCACCACCATAACCGCCTGCAGGACCACCATAAGATGGGGGATATGATGCAGGTCCACCAGTATAACTTGTAGGAGGCGGAACTGCATCCGTTCCATAACTAGCATTGTAAGATGGGTAATTGCCTCCAGCTGTGCCATAGGACGGTGGTGCATTTGGAGGAACCTGACCGTACCCCCCATCATCTCTTCCTTGGCTACCACCATAAGAACCACCCCTACTACCACCTCCGCCTCTACTTTCATAACTACCGCCTCTGCCTCCGTCATAACTGCTACCCTTACCTCCTTCATAGTTACCACTTCGACCCCCATCATAGTTACCACCCCTACCACCACGGTTACCACCACCAGTTCCTCCTCTGTTATAATTGCCGCCACCACCACTGCCACGATCACCACCGGCGGCACCCGAAGGAGAGGGAGTGCCACACTTGTTACACTCAACTCTTCTTGCAAAGTTCAAATTCCCACAGCTATATACAATCATACCGATTCATAAACCACATATACATATGCAATAAGGAAAATAGCCAAAGAAAATAAATTTCGACCTAAAGCTATTACTTTTAAGGTTAAGAAGAGAATTCTAAAACCCAATAAAAATTAAGGATAAAAAATAAATAATAGAACCGATCAAGATAAAATGGAAAGAAACAGATAGAAAGAGAAAAAGGGTTTACCCTGGATTAGGGCACATCCAATCGCCATCTCTTCCACTGCCACCGCGGCCGCCTCTGCCGCCGCCTCCACCACGGTCGCCACCTCTGCCGCCGCCACCGCGATCTCCTTGATATCCTCCACCTACAGTCAAAACCAAATCTGTCAAATCAAAATTAAAGAATTTAAAACAATTATAAACTCGAAGGAACAAAGTAATAAAATTTACCTCGACCGCCACCGCCGCCATAACCTCCACCGCCACGTCCGCCACCGCCTCCATAACTATCGCCGCCCTTACCTCCATAGCCACCACCGCCGCTTCCACCATAGCTTCCGCCTCCACCACCACCTCCATAACCACCAGAACCGCCTCCGTACCCGCCAGAGCCACCATAGCCACCGCCGCCGCTAGATCCGTACGGAGGAGGGGCGCCATCGCCCTCTTGACCGTACATTCCAGCCATGATCTAGGTCCGAGAGAGATTCCGAGACACAACGATTAGGGCCAGACCCGGAAAAGACTAACATTTCCACGCGAGAGCTTCTAGCTTATATACGCGAGGGTAAAGTCGTCACCTGATTTTTGTCTTGCCGATTTTGACTCCGACACGTGTTAATTAACTATGTATAAGCCCAAACCCAAAACCCCTTTGAGTCCGGATTCGTTTCTTTGGGCCTCTAGGCCCGTGACAATTTTTTTTTTTAAAAAAAAAACAAGAGGAAGTATCAATACACATGGAAATGTCGATACGTAAATTTATGGAAACATCAATATCGGTTGTTTTTTACGGAAATTATGAAAATTTACAATGAGGTAAGTATATCAACTCATTCAAATTTAGACGAAATTAGAGAAAAACTTCTCAAAACAAAAATTCGAAAGTTCGAAATTTACAATGAATTCTGGCAAATTTTGTGCAGCGAATCAATAAATATAATTGATATTCATTAATTTTCTTATATCTCACCGAATTACAAATCGGCCCATGATAACTCCACCGCCAACTAACCTAATCCACACATACATCTCTTATTTCTTAATAGTAGGGAAATTGAAATGCTCACACCCACTCTGCAGACTAACAAGAAACAAATTTAGAGAATTTCCAAACCCTTCTTTTGCCATTGAATTTTTGTAGAGCAATAACTTCCACAAGTGTTCAAACCTAATACAAGTTACAACAACAAACACCAGCAACAATCGATCAGCAGACTGATCATACAGTGGCGAAAAATTTCCTCGGATATCTATTTTCTACAAAACTTTCCTCGAAATCTATCTTCTATGTAAAACTGGGTAAAGATAACAAAAAGGTTGGTACTAGCAGGGTCATCCACAGAGGAAGGTAGGCTGGATGGAGAGAACCTGAAAGAGAGGCGCGTAGTTGAACCGAAAACTTACAATTATCCAAAGATGGATCAACGGTTGTGATTAAACCCAAGCTGCCAAATTCACAGCTGTCTGCACTCTGATTATGCTGCTGATAGTAGCTGTTAAATGCATATGATATGTTACCCGGCCAACTGATATTGGAGCAAGACCCACCAGGAGACATTGCACTGCAATCGGCATGCAAACATGCCTCTAAAGCACTAGCAGTTGCATTAGATAAGTCCCTATTATTGTTCACCACACACCACTTGGCAGGAAGGTACTCAACGTTTTGAGCGTCCACCAGATTTTTCGAACCTTGAATGAAATCAAAATGGTACTTGGCTTGACCATCAAAGGTGAACACACCCCAATGTCGCTCGAAATTTCCCATGCTTATGCTTCTTTGGTCCTCGTCTAAGAGGCTAAAAATGTATGTTTCGACTGGAGGATTATGAGGCCTGAGTGGGGTTCCTGATTTGCTACGAAGGTGTGCCATCAGGCCTTTCATGAAGGTCTCTGCAGTGGAAGGGGTTGCGTTTGCTGCTCCATCTGTAGGCCAACCAATCTGTGACACAACAATTTCCATCTTAGGGAAACCTACTGTTGACAAAGCTGTAACCAAGGTGTCATAGATCAAGTCAAAGCAGTTTTTGTATGTTCTGTGGCTGTCGTTATGAGGTTTTGCATTCTCTTTCAATAGAGTGAAGTCGAGGGAAATGTTTTTGTTTTGGCGGAGACTTATGAAAGGGGAAATGGTCGCAAAGAATGGTGAATTGTGCTTGCTGAGAAACGTGAGCAGTTCAATCATGGTTCTATTGAGGTCTGCCCGAAAGTGTCCTTTTGAAGGATGGCCAGACTCTGATAGGAAGGAATCAAAACTACAAGGCACGACCACTTTCACATTGCTCTCCAACTTTGCTCTGGCCAAAGCTGCGTGAATATTCATTGCCGCTCCTATGACGAATGGGTGAAATTGCTCACCATAACTCTGGAGAAATGGCTCATCTCCAACAGCAACATACCTGAAAATAGACTAGTTAGAAACCAGTATATACAATATGAAACAGCCATACCTTGATTTATGAATGAGCAAAGTCCAGTCGATATCTGATGGGATCAACAAACAAATATTCAGTGGTTACTCTAAGAGGCTAATGAGTTCATGAACCGAGAAATCCCTGGTACAAAAATTTATCTGTCAACTTGTCCTTGCACGGCTGACTAAACCTAAAACGGAAGAGAGAACATCTACCATTATCCTGCAAAGATTTCTTCTTCTGCAAACAAAAAAGACCCACTACAAAATTTTGCTCTTTTCGACTGGTCCTAATGCAATTAAGCCCATAGAGAGATCACCGATACTGGCACAGTGAAGGGCAAACAGGCTCCTCTCTAAAGTTCAATACACAGAGGAGCGTTTCTTCTTGTTCTAGGTATAGCTCATCTCATAGAAAGTTTATTGTTTTATTGGTTTATTTGCCAAAAATCAAACATCAATCAAATGCTAAGAATGCAGCGCTTGAACCCACCAGGGGATTTGAACATCTACTCCGCAAAACATAGTGACGAACATTCCGATATGGTCTCCTTTCGTTTGAGGTTCTTTTCATCGACATTAAATTAAGGATAATTGCACAAAAGTCCATACTTCATGCGCAACGCAACTTTGATCGTAAAATATGATTCTGTAACTCCTACATTGCCTCAGAATCGCAACATAAAGCCTACAATGTCACTTAAATCTAGGCAAATCAGCAACAAGGTACATTCTTTCTAATGTTCAACACAGATTCAATACAATTCAAATTGGGTATTTCTAACAATCAAATTTCAGCCACAGTAAATCAACTATTTACGCCCCAAAAATCCAAATGCAGCATCAAATTAAAAACCGCATCAGGCAAAAAACTAGAAGGAAAGACGAAAACTGACTCGATTTTAACACCGCCGCCGCCGCTATTGGAGACGTAGCGAGTGACATTGTCATGGACCCAACTCTCGGCAGCCTTCTTGGAAGAGTTGAGAACTTTAAGCAACGCATTAGGAATGCCCACAGTGACGCTAAGTTTGGACCCAGAAAGCGCTTCGAGGACGCCTGGGTCCGCGTCGAACAGCTTGACCTTGGTGACATTGTTGGACTTCAGCAGCTCCACCACCTTGGTCGGCGGTAGTGGGTGCGACGCAGTCGTGCCCCAGTTCACGCCTATGGCTCCGCAGGTGGAGGCCGTGGTCGCCAAGAGCAAGAGGAGTGTGCGGAGATTTGGCGGCATTTTCTGGGTTTGAGATTGGTCTTTGGAGATGGAGAGGGAGAGTGAGAGTGCGAGAACGGAAGGAATTAAAGGTTGAAGCTTTTAATGCCGAAAAGTTGTAAATGATGAGAATTTTGGTGGAGGATTTTGGCAGTTAGCTGGGGTTGGTCTAATTCAGCAGTGTATGCTACCTACTTTATAATGCGGATTCTTTTGATTCTCTTTGTGAAGATCTCGAAAATCTTCTAATGTGTCCGTTCATCTCATGTTTATCTGATATAATAGTATAATTACCTTAATAATTATGAATTTGGGTTCAGTTTTTTTTTTTAGCAAGATTCTTTTTTTTTTTCGTTCTCGATTGATAGTTATAGATATAGCTGAAGTCTAGTGCCTTACTCATATTATTCTTCTGTAATCATTTTTTTTTTTTGGGGCTTATGCCCCGAAGTAAAAAAAAAGTAAATATACATTTTTAACCGTTTATTCTTGTTTAATCATGTATGTCTTTTTCATTTGATTTATTCAAATTGATGACTAAAAATAAAAAAGAGTGTGAGAAAGTCCAAAGGGTTTATGAACATCACCACCCTTAAAGAAGTCAAAAATGCTCTTTTGGTAAAATGTGACAAAAATGTATGATCATTCATCTTTAAATTTTGTACGAAGAATGGGAATAAGTATATGTACTCTTAATGTTTTAATTTCAACCGATGATATGAAATCCAAAAATGGATGATTATAAATAATTGTACGCATATAATGACGTGTGATATGCTATAATATAAGTAGACAACAAAATGAATTTGTAATAATTTAGAGTTTATTATTACTTAATAGATTCAGAAAAATTATACAACACGATCTCATTTTTCTTTCTTTTTTGGATCGGGCCATATCCGATGACTCAATGTAGAAGAGGCCCATTGGCCACATTCATGCGTGGAGTGAGGCTACATGGTAGCCACTTGTCACGCTTCGAAGTCAAGGATTCTTAATCCAAACCGTGATTATCTATTATATTAGGAAAGAAGACATTATAATTAAAATTTTCATTAAACTCTACAAATACCTTTAATTGAATAAAATAGTTAAGATATTACATACATCACATAAAAAAATATGGAAGTCGCCAAAAGCAAACTCACGGGGCAAAAAGGAACAAAAATATGTGTGTCCGTGTAATCTTTCTAAAGCAACGAACGAGAAACTTAACTTTGAGAAATAAGTGTCTTCTATTATAATATAAAGGTGTCTTAGCTTATTTATAGTAAGGGGTCTTTTCTTACTCACTAGTGCTTTAGTTTTTAATAAGGACATTTAGGCTTTAGTAATAGAATATATAGGCTTTTCTTGCTTGTTTAGTATTGCTTTGATTTTGCCGTTCGTATCTTGCTAACGCCAAAGTTACCGCAACTAAAAAAATGAATGAAGAAAGAAGGCATTAGCATTAGAAAGACTATAGAGGCATACCTGGCATAATAAAATACAAAATAGTAAAACAACTAATATATATGTTTCAATTTTCATACCATGTTTTTGAAATAATTGTTCAAAGCTAATGCATGAAGATTTTTCACTCATATCGCTCTATTCTCGTTAATCCATACTACAAAATACGTACCTCACGGTTCATTCAGTTTCTATTGTTTTTTAATATCATGGTGTTCTCTCATTCACCAAGTATTCCCACAAGACATACACATAAAGGAGAAACTTTCTATTGCAACCAAGACATAATCATCACGTGTCTTACAGATATTTGTCCATGCTAAAAAATGAACCATCCATTTAAGAAACACTTGCTACATGGTTATGATGCGAAAAGTAACTTAACACACAAATTAAACCCTATTGTTATCAATTGTAGTAAAGAATGTAAGTATGGATCGTTCTAGA